TTTTTTTTTTATAAAAGTCTAGCACATTACATAACCAATAAATCCACATTTCAAACTTCGTACAAAAATTATAAAAATTCAACAAACTTTAACATCCACACCAAAAATTTTAAAATTTTTGTTCAGAATTTTTAGAAAAATTCTAGGTATGCAGTTTTATAGCGCATTAAATTAAAGTACGTAAAAGCGAAAATTTCAAAACACTAGGAAATCGCGTTGAATTTTAAAATTTTTTTTGGCTGACAGCGCTAGGCATTTTCTTCTATATAAAAGGCCCTATCCTAAAATAAAACGTGATTGAATTGAACCCCTACTTGCCTTCTTATCATCTTTAATAACTAATCTTTAAAAGGGACCACACTAAAAGCTACTTTTCATATAAAAATGAAAGGAATTTCGGATTTTTTTTTTAATAAGCAATAATTTTTGTTGTAGGTTTTGCTTTGTTTGTATTCGTGGTTCTTTGTTTTATTATAAAATATCAAGTTCACACAGAAAAGTGAAACAAATTCGCAGAGTTTCCGTAAAATATATCTGGGGGGAGATTTAATCTCTTGGACCAAAAAAAAAAAACAAAAGTTTTGAAAAATTTGGTTTTTAGGTTTCAAACCGGGAGCTACGAGCTGTAGGTTCCTTACCCGCCAACTGACAACGGTTTTTTCGATAAACCTTAGTAAAATTCAGTGTTATACTTTTTTTAGAACATATTTCTTCAGATTTTCCTTGTATACTTACTGTAAGGTCTGTTTGCAGCTCTCAACGGAAAAGAAATTTTCTTCTATCAAAATTTCTTAAATCAGTATGCAGCTCCTAAGAAATAAATGCTCATATATTTATTTCCTCAAAAAAAAAATTTACAGCAACCGCAAAGTACTTTTCCTAGAAACAGAAATAATGAAAAATATTTAGGTTTAAATAACCTTAGCGCTATGATACTATATGAAATTACTAACTTATGCCTTTCAAGTTGATGAGCTCACTCGGAGACAAACCACTTTTTTGACACTATGAACTTTCCTGATGACCAAGAGTACGTAATCTTCCCTACGACAATAATCTTATTTCAAGTAATGAATTAGGCGGTAGTACATAAAAGTCTTTATAAGGAGACATTTGCGTTTTCTGTTACAGGAGAGGCAGGACTTTTTTGTGTTTCACAATCAAACAGTTAATTAAGCTGTGTGATCTCTTAAATATCGTTCAAAGGGTTTCAGCGATATACCTACCGTGCCCTTTCTGGGAAGGATAAATAACACTGGTCTACAAGGGTTTTGCGAATAAGACGGGACCTGGTGTTTCCGAACGGATTTTTCGTGCTGAACACGAATCTGGGGTCCAAAACTTCCCATCACGTCACGTTTTCGAGAAAAAAGGGGTTGAAACCCCTAAA